GTAAAGAATTGCCCTCCAGAGCTTTTACTGTAAACAAACCAAAACCATAGTTTTAATTACTCAGCATGGAACTGGCTTAACTCCTGCCTTTGGATTTTCTCCCCTACATAGTGAGGGGTGGGCTACAAAGTCTCTTCTGGTTGTGGGGGTCCCCCAGCACAGGGTACAACACAGGGGACACCAGCCAGCAATCTCCTTAGTCTGTTCTCAGCTTCAATCCAAATCCTTTCTGACTGAAAAACAGTGACAAAAATTGGCCTTAATTACCTAAAAGCTCTTTATATAAGTTCCTTAGAAGATTATTTATAGTAAAGCCATTTAATATCATTAAGTTAATTCTGTGTGCATCTTTTTAAAAACTTATTTTAAATGCCAGTGATGGCTCAAAATGTCTTTCCTACTTTTTTAGGTTTCGCTTGCTTAAAATAGTGTCTAAAATTAAAAATTCGCATCAAAGGGGCCAATAGGAATTTTGAAAAACAAACATGGATAGAAAATTAAGAGTGTGTAAAAGTCCCATAACTAAATCCTAATTTAAATAAATGCTTTGGAGAAAACATAAATCTATGTAGGCAGCCTTTAACAAAAGTGCATACAGTAATCTCAACTCTTTTTTTCTAGAGTTGGAAAAAATGACTTCAAGCTTGAATTTTTGTTATGAGTAGTCATGTATTCTAAAATTTTAAAAGGTCTTTGGGAGAGATCTGGGGTTTTCTAAACTTTTTTGCCTGTCTTTGTGTTTTATTATACATGATAAAGTTTTAAATTTGTATGTAGTAAAATGCAGAATTCCTTTCTCTATAATTCCTTTTTATCTTTTCTTTGCCTAGAAAGTAGTTCCCCATTTATTTCTCATTTACCTAATTAATCTCATTCATTTACCTAATAAATATTGAGCATCTAATATGTGAGACACTGTTCTAGGTATAGATCAGAAAACAAAACAGACAATATTTCCTGTCCTCATGGACCTTACTTGTAGAAGAAGGAGGCAAAAACACATAGCTAATAAGTATATTATATGATGTATTAGAAGGTAATTAGGGCAATGGGGAAAAAACTAGACTGGGGTTATGGAGATCAATAGTACCAGGACAGGGACTGGAGTGGGGAGCGGGGCTTGTTGCAAATATAAACAAGGTGATTAGAGTAGAACTCATTTGAAGAGGTGACATTTGAAGAAGATGCTTAAAAGAGGCGAGAGAGTAAGCCATGTAGATATTTGGGGGAAGAACATTCTAGGTGAAGGGAACAGCATGTGCAAAGGCTCTGAGGTCAGAGAGTGCCTGGAGTTTGCAGGAACAGCATGGAGTCCACTATGGCTGGAGCAGTGACAATGTGGGAGAGTAATCAGAGATGTGGTCAGAGAGGTAAGGGGGCTTTTGTGTGACATTGTGAGCACTCTGACATTTACTCTGAATAAAATGGGAGACATTGGAAGGTTCATGATCTAATGGGGGTTTTCACAGGGTCACTGTAGCTGTTCTGAAAATAGACTGTAGGCAGATAAGAGTGGAAACAGAGTGACCTGTTAAGAGGCTATTACAATTATCCTGGCGAGATGTGATGGTGGCTGGAGCCACAGTGGAACAGTGGAAGTGGTAACAAGTAGTCAGATTTTGGATATATGGGGAAGGTAGGATTTCCAATGGAAGGATGGAGTTACCAACTGAGGTGAAGAAGAGTATGGGTGGAGGAGGAATGGATAAGATGCGTTCAGTTTTTGACATGTTAACTTAGATGCCCGTTTGATATTAAATGACAGTGTTGAGTAGTGTAGTGGACTGAATAGTGTCCCCTGCCAAAATCATGTCTACTCAGAACCTCAGAATGTGACCTTATTTAGACACAGGAGCTTTGCAGATGTAATTATTTCAATTAAATTAATCATACTGGATTAGAATGAGCTCTAAATCCAGGGACTGGTGTCCTTATAAGAAGGCCATGCGAACACACAGACACACAAGGGAGGGTGCCACATGAGGACAGAGGCAGAGATCTAAGTCACGTGTCTACAAACTAAGATATTCCAAGGGTGGCCTGCAACCACCAGAAGCCTTGGGAGAGACGTGGAACCCTTGGCCCTTGATGGCTCCGGGAGGAACCAAGCTTGCTGACTCCTTGACTTCAGACTTCGGGGCTTCCGAACTGTGAGAGAATACATTTCAGTCTTATGCCACCCGACTGGTGGCAATCCTTTAGGGTAGCCCTGGGAAACTAATATAGGCAGGCAGTGACACTATGAGTGTGGTTAGGGAAGAGGGCTGGACCGAAGACACAAATGTGTGTGTCGAATTCATATAGATAATATTCATAGCCATGAAATTAAATTTCAAGTAAATTGATAAAAACAAGCAGAGAGGAGGACCGAATCCTGAGCCCTGGGGCCCTTAATATTCAGAATTCGAGAAGATGAAGAGGAACCAGGTAAGAAGAGTGACTGATGAGGTAAAAGGAAAAGCATGAGTGTGGTCTCCTGAAGTTAAATAAAGAGTCTTTTTTAAGACACATGCACCCCAATGTTCATAGCAGCACTGTTTAC